ACCCCATTTTCTCTGATGTTCTTAGTGATCGATAACTTTAGGGTCGAATTTCGTTAGAAAAGATTAGGTTCCCTAAAGTTTATGAATCGATTAAGAAATTGATCCCATGTATTGGCAAAATAATGTGTTTCTGGACACATTTCCACACGGGCAGTGTTGATTCACACGGGTACCCGTGTTGAACCTCCTGTGTTGGTTTCTGAATTTTGTTTTCTGTGCATGCTGTTATGTACGGGATTGATCCTGTTTGATATGTTTTGAATATGCTGTTTATTGATTTTCTAGTGTTGATTGATGCTTGTATCGAATAACGATTGTATGTTATGATACCAACACTATGTGGATTTTATTGTCATGCTTTTAGATAATGTTATCAAGCATGAATTATGATATAACTTGATATGATTGGTTGATGTTTAATAGTATGCTGAGTGATTACATGCTATTCATATCGTGTTGTATTTGATATTGTCGATGTTACATGATATGGTTTATTGATGTTAATAGTATGCTGAGTGTTACATACTGTACATATCATGTTGCATTCGTTAATTCCCATTGTGTGGAATTAACATGGTGGCCAATATACGTGTCCGCGATTTAATGGAACGTTGAGGTGGTAGCCGTGTCCGCGATATAATGGAACGGTGAGTTATCCGTGACCCGAGATTTAATGGGGCGGTAAAATGGTACCACATGCATGGGTGTGTTGCATTATATTGAATATAACATGAATGGATGATTTTCCAATGTTGTATTTAATTGACTGTATGCATGTATTGCTGCTAAATTGTTAATAATGTTTGATGTCAATTATAAGTATGAAAAGTAATATATATTGAATATATGAATCGTAAAGGTTTTCGTAAACTATGAAACATGCTAACTGTTTGGGTGATGCTTATGGTTTTCTGAATTGATTGTTATGAACGTATAATCAAATGTATAGTTGAGATGCTCACCCTTACTGTTGAATATTTCAGATTGAGGAGCTTCGTTCAGGTGCTTGGCGAAGGCTTGTTGTTTCTAGTTTATTTCCGTTTAAGTATTGTCCGGGTCATGCTCTGATAGTTGTAACTCCGGGAACGTTTGTTTGTCGAGCTGCTTTAGTCAGACTCGTTTATTTCCTTATGTTTGTTATAATATGATGTTGATATTTTCCAGGTGTTAATCCCTGATGATTTTGAAAATATTATAACATTGGTTTTGTTAATTAAATTATTCCGCTGTGTAAACATGTATGAGTTGCTTCTATGTTGTGCATGACAGGAACTTATTTTTATTAAAAGAGAATTGTGACATCCTCGTTAATACATGTACTCTGAAAGTATGATTTTAATTATTTGCGAAATTTTGTTCGGGGTTTTAGAGGGTGTTACATGGCTTCCTTTTGATCAAAATCTTAGCAAAATCTTGTTCTGGTTTGGTTTCCAAAATAAGATGAAATGAATCAATTGATGAATTCTTTTCATTTTGAGTAGAAATCATAATTTCACTAAGTGTTTTTCTTAGTGATTTTATGCATTATCATAATTGATCCATTCTTTGATTTTTCTGGCTCAACGGGTTTCATAAATGCTCACTCATTTCACAAGGTATGATGAGGCTATTGGGTTTAGAAGTTTTTCTCAAAAAGAACAAATTGCCTTGATCCTCTTTATGATTCACAAAAACTTAAAAATAATTGTTAGATTCGATATGAATCAAACAAGTTTCAATAAAGGATTATCAGCAAATAAAATATATCAGTGCACAATGGAAGTCTCCTCACATTTCTGGTTTTGGCTACATGATTCATGCAAGAAATATGTTTTTGCAAAATTAGGCATGAATTGATTTTCCAAGAAGTACAAAATTCAAAATCATGCTAACATTATATAAAGCATGTAAACATGTACCTTTGCCCTTTTGTGCATTTAGTTAGAAATTTTTATCATCACCACTCATTTCTCTTGTTGAGTTTTTAAAACAATTTTAATTCAAGCCTTTTATTGCTTTTTGGATCAATTTTTGATCCTTGATTATGACAAACAAAATTACAAAAATACTAGGAATAGTAAAACCAATCTATCAAAACAAATAACATATTCATTTTAACAAGCATAGTTCAACAATGTTAACAGAAACAAGTTACGGTATACCAACCTTCAAAAGAATAGTCAAGAAAGTTTACGGTATAAACACATTTCTCCTTCAAGGTTGAGTTCAAAAATCATTTCTACCCAAATGCTTCTGCTAGTTAGATCACGAAACCTATCATGTTGCTCTGGTCCCAAAAAATTTGTCTGGTCAAAGGGTTGTTGTGCTTTTGATGATTCAACTCTAGTGGTTTTCTATTTCTTGGTAGCAACATTCCTTTTAGGAGCCATGCATGTAATCACAAACACACAAAAACTGGATCTATTAGCAAAACTAAGACTTCTGTACATGTTGAGTTCACTTAGCAATGTGCAGCGAACTGAAGTTCGCTAGGCGAACTTTGCGAAATCTAGAAAAAAATAACAGACTTCTGAGAGGGTTGCATCTTTGCTTAGGTTAATCATATCATGAGTACAAAGATTCAGTTTTATCAAGCACCAAACTTCAGTCAAGAGGTTACAGAAATGCACTAATCTTAAGAACACAAGGCATATACAAAACAAAGTATGTTTATAGATAATGAAGAGTTTAAAACGTTTACTTACATGACGTTAAGTTCCTTTATAAAAGCATTCTGAATATATAAAAAATGGATAGTAAAACACCATGAAGAGCTTGAAACTATCCTTCATTTTAAAGTATGCAAGAGTGTTTGTCATGAAGAGTTCTATGATGGATTGTAAGAGTAGAAAATTAATCGGGTTTAAGACTTGTGTTCTTAAATATTTATTTGAGCAGAAAATTACTTATTTATCTAACCTTTTTTTGTCTAACTCTTTTTTTGTTCATATCAGAAACTAATTCAAGCAAAATCAATTGAAAATATCATGGCACCCAACATTTGATCTTCTCCAGAATTATATGATTTGAAGATCTAAAATCTATATCTTGTGAAAATTATTTTTTTTATGTAAACAATGTAATATTTTGGGTAAACAATTTAGTTTGTAAACAAATTATTCTATTAATTTTCTGTGTAAACAATGTAACGATTTTTAATTTAAAAAAATAAATAAATAATTTACCCTTCGATTTTATTGATAAACTGAGATGTATGAGCCGCTACTATTGTAAATAATAAAAATGCAGATGGTGGGGTTCGAATCCATGCACAAATAAATTACTCCTGGGTGATTAAAAAACTGAAGTGTTAAGTCCTTACTTTTTTATGACGATATTCGTTACCTCGTTTCTATAGTCGAGGTAAAACGCATTTCGCGTCTGAGGTTAAAAGCACTTTTTGTAGTTGTGTCATATGCTTGCTCCATCGATTTCAATTTTTGCCGCCAAGAATTAGAAGAGAATTTGGTATTACATTAGTATCATTCATCTTTGCAGCGATTGATTCACGTTCCTTGGAAACACGACCACCAACGTGAAGTTCTTGAAAACACGGTCAAGAACATGAACCAGGAGCTCTAGATATCAATTTGTTAGTGTGTGAGAAACTTTTGTGAGGAGAGAAAGAGAATAAGAAAAAGAGAATTGATATTATTGAATGATAAAAACAAATTTACCTAACTTGTGTACTAAGTAACAAATCCTAAACCTAATTAACTTTGATTGTGAACTACACAACTTGAATTATATTACAACATGCATGTCTCAAATGTAATATTGACGCATCCTTCTCTAATTCTTATAACAAGGTAGATATAAGTGGTTGCATTCAAGATGACGAGGAATAATTTGTCACTACTTAGACTAAATGGTTTTCACCTATTACCTATTATCGACATTGATATAAGAGAAACTTTAAGTCTTTTGTCATCTATCAAATGGATACATAGTCTTGATTTTGATGGACTGTATTTTAAATTGAATGCTAAAAATGTAATAAAAAAATGTAAATAAACAACAACCGGGCATATTAGATTTCAATGTTATTACTTACAAATGTAAATGCTTATTAGCTCTTTACTTTATGAACTTCCATATTAAATTTGTTAGAAAACATGGTTAAGTTGCTTATGTTTTAACAAGGATGACCCATCTTTTTACTAGTTTTCCCAATTTTATCAATTTACAAAGATTTATTCAAGTGAATTAAGTATTTTCTCATCAAAGAATAATAACTTTTTTTAAGTTATTGATTTACAAACATAACAATTTACACCTATTAAACTCAACTATAATATTTCAGTTAACATATCTCACCCACCACTTATATAATACTAATCAATACATCAATAATAAAATTTCACATAATTAGAAAATAATATAAAGGATGTCTGAAAGAATTGGTGGACTCTTTTTGGTAAAATTAATAACTAATTTATAGTTGATAGTTGAAAACTAATGGTCAGTAGCTAATAGTTTATAACTAATAAAAAATAGCTGATAAATTAACATAAGTGTTTAATAAATTAACTGTTTTATTAACTGATAGATACAAAATGACATAAGAATCATTTTAATTAATAAGAGTATTAATATATTTTTGTTAAAATAATAAGGATATAAATTTTATAAAAAAAATCACAAACTAAAAATTACAAACTCAAAAGCTACTTCAAATAGCTTTTGAAAAAAATTAAAAACTAATAAAAAAACTAAAAGTTAAAATCAAGTTATCAAACATAATTTTTTTCATTAATATGAGCTGAAAAGCTAAAAACTCTTATGTATAAAATCAGCTACTTTATGTAATACACTACTTTATGTATAAAATCTTATTTATTTTATAAAACATCCAAAATATCACTTGAATGTTGCTAGACCAGCACCCCAAAATTTATAACATTACAACATTATCATCAAAGAAATGTGATAAATTCAGATATAAAAAATATCCTTATTGTCGATTGGTAGGACACCCGTGTGTAGCATGAAAGTTGGTCTTCTCTAAACTAGTCATATTATTAATGTGAGCTCTCAAAGCTCCACCACCTTTTTTTCTTTCTTGACTCATTTGATGTTACATCTGTATCAATAGTAACATATCACATATCAACCACATCATACACTATATTTGAAACCAAAAAAAATCCCAACATGGATGTTTGATGTCTTTCTTGGTCAATCATGTTAAATTCAAACAAACCAAATAGATTAAACCCTTGGTTAGGTGAAATTGTTTCAAACTGATTAGATAAGTAAAAAAAATTGTAAAAATATACCTCCTTGAGGATAGATGGAGTTGTAATGCACCTCTGCCCAAAAACTTATGAAAATCACTGCAAAAAAACACATTATAGCGATAATTAAACGATGAACAATAAAGAAAAGGATCTATAGTTAGTATGAGCTAAAATACGGAGAATGCGCTAATAATCCAGAAAAGTCTAACAAATCTATAATTCAAAATATTAATCACACACCACAGATTGAAAAAGCATTTCCACATATGTTTTTATATCTACTTATGAAAATCCTGAAAATGAAGCAGATAATTGAACCCGTAGTTTCATTCACTACCATCTTATGGAAGCACCAATGCTTATAGAAGAATGTCCAATTGTGTTAATGTGAGTGAGGATATGCTAAATCCTAGAATCTAGGAAAATCTTACCTCCTTTTGGCTTCTCAAAACTAGGAAGAATCTCAATGCAACACGTGTCTTTGAAAGAAGTCATCACAAATATTCTCACACCATACTGAACAAAAAAAAATGGTATTAGTAACAAATTAAAAGGCACATAATATTATGCCAATTTCAAATTTCAAATGTTATTATAAGTTTGTCAATAGCATCATTTGAAGAAACGTGCAAGAATTGGCGAATGAAAATTGAATTCAGCCACATTTGAGAAGAGAAAGATATTACTTAAACCATGAAACAAAAGATACTCAAACAAATGTTTTGTTGAAGAGAAACAGTAAGTTTTATAGAAGCTTTAAGGTGCATAGAACAATAATACAACATATTCAAACAATTTTATAGATGTAAAAGTTGCAAAACTCATACCGAATCTGCAGCAGCTTGAAGAGTGACATGATCGCCCCATTCACCACTCCTAATTTCATTGAAAATGAAAACATAATTTGCTGTTGGTTAGCTTATACGAAATATTTTTTTATATATGAATATAGATAGAGAAAAAAGTGAAAGTTATTACCTAGACATCTTTTCCAAATATTCACTAAATTCCATGGGAACATATGCTTCATAAATCTCTGGATGAGACTTCAGCTGTTTAAAAGATCATTCACTAATCAGATTCAGAACCTAAGAATAGTTCATAAAAAAGAAACAGCGCATCTATCAAAATTCCGGTAAGCATGATGAAACATAGCCCTCTAGTGGCTAGACAGCTAACCTGGTTTACAACTTTTCGTCTCACAAACTTGTGGTGATCAGGTGTGTTATACAACTGATCAGATAATGCACGGAACTGGTGAAGAATAAAGATAAAATAACTATTAATTGATGAATGTAGAAACTTATGATCTGAAATGAAAATGATTAAAGTCACTCTGCACAAGCGGGGGAGCAAAAAATTGGAAAAGTGAATGGTGAAAGCAACAAACCTGACAATTACCATCACCTTGTACCTTATGCTCCACAAAGTCATATAGTTGCAATCTGTTTAGAAATATAGGTGGCTTAATTTGACATGTCGAGTATAAGTTTTTAGAAGAAAATGTAGACAAATAAATAATCCTTTATATAGACTATGAATGAACAAAAAATAATAATATAGGGGTGTTGCGTGCACACACAAAAAGAAGCTGGACACCCAGGGCAATGGATTCTCTGTAATGACAATTAATAAATTTCTAGACAATGATACATACATGACGGAAGCATTTTTATTAGCTTTTAACATAAGAGCAATATGCCTATGACCAATACCTCTCCAGAAGCCTTTCATGATCTGATGTTGCTTCATCAATAGAAGGAATTTCTCCATTAATTTTTGGAATGTGCTACACAAGAGGGTAAAAACAAAATTTTTAAGCAGGCCATACAACTGATCAAAATAAATAAACTTGGTAATATAATAAGACATGGTGTTAGGAACACAGACAATTTAATAGGAAGAATAAAAAAAATAATTATTTTGTTGAAGAATTGTTTAAGAGAGGGAAGAAGTGATACATGTCTCTCTTCCAAGGGTTTCCCCTTCAAGACAGAGCACTCCTTTCACTTACAAACTTTATAATATAGTCAATGAATTCCCCTAATCTGATTTCCCTTATTTATATTCCCTTATAATACTCTCTAATAATCTGTTAGGATCCTTTCTTTGAGCTAAAAAGAATTCCTAAGATAATGGTTTAAAAAATATTCAAATGAATAAAGATTGCAAACAAATGAAGTTTTTCTTATTTCTGTAGAGATTGAAAGAGAAGATGCAAAAGGTTTACAGAGGAGAACGCTACTTTCATACTGGAATAACCGGCCCCATCAATTATTCCAAAAGCTATCCCTCCACTCTACCAATTGAGGGATATTTAAATACTTTCTCAGAATAACAAAAATACTGTTAACGACTAGTACTTAACAAACTAATCAACTAATTAACTTCTACTAACTAACTCTTAACCCTGCTAATTATCCTATATTCTATATCCTAACAATATCTTAACAAAAAAGAGCATAGTGAACAAGTTATTTGGTAAAAAATAACCATCAAAAGCTGCAGAGTATATAATTATCTATTCAATACATAAATCAAGAAGCTAAACATACAGGAATGGGAGTTATCTCACTCAATCTCCTCTCTATTTCATTATCAAATGGATAGTTATCAACAAGCTCCAATGAGCATCCCCCCACTTCACCAGGACTACAGCATGAGCTAGAAGTTTCTATGTCACCAACTCCTTCATTGACATAATTATGACCTGCACATATAAAATTTTGATTGAATTTAACCAAATTATGCAAAAAGATAAATTTCAACCATACACAAGCACTCAATATCACAATGCGTGCACTTATTAATACCTCCTGAACAATAGTTCATCATTGGTGTGTTATGCCAATCATATGAAGGCTGAGAAGCATGAAATTGCTCTTCATCTGCCTGTGAATAACCCGAACGCTCGGCAATCTCTAGCTGTGAAAACTCTTCTTGAAGAGTCCGAGCAATGATCTCGTCATTCTCTACTTGGTTACTTTCAGAATTGTAATGGCTGTGAAAGTAGTTTTCATCATAGACATCACCAGTATGATGTTGAATCATGTCACCATAGTATCCAGGACTATAACAAGGATCGACATCAAAAAGATTCATACCCCACTGAACAACATCTGAATGTTCATGTAAAGCCATCTTTGAGAATTGAAAATAAGAATGAATCTGAAAGTCTTCTATGGAATGATTCCGCACCAGCAATTATACTCCTGTCAAAATAAGTTATGCATTTAGAAACTGGAGCTTCAGCAATTGTGTGTTAAATTAAACTGCAGCGGCAAGGACAGAAATTAAAAGTGTCTAGGAAAATGCTTATAAAATGTTATGCATTTAGAAACTGGAGCTTCAGCAATTGTGTGTTAAATTAAACTGCACCGGCAAGGACAGAAATTAAAAGTGTCTAGGCAAATGCTTATAAAATTCGATAGGATCTCAATTATTGAACGACTGTAAAGAAAAAAACAAAATGTGCACTTCAGAAAACAAAAGCAAAAACCATAGCATATACTTTATTCATAACTCTCAAAATTTTGGATTGGGCCTAACTCATCCCTATAAACCGGTTTGTAGGGTGAGGAGTGTCCCCACTTATAAACACAACACAGGCCATATCTCTAAGCAATGTGTAACTAAATCCACCACTTCAAAGCCAACACAATGAAGGTGTTAGGGGCTGCAATGAAGGCAGGCCAAAGTGCAACAATTAAGGCGACTAGGGGCGGGCTGCAATTAAGGGCCTCAACGAGCACGAAGCGTGGACAGTGCGGGAAGCCCAACAACAGGTCTAAGAGAGGCTCTGATACCATCTCAGAGTTTGGGTTGAGCCTAACTCATCCCTACAAACCAGTATTATAGGGATGAGTTAGACCCAACCACATTTCTTTACATGGTATCAAGAGTCTCGTTTAAAATCTCATGGGCCACCTACTATCAGGTTTTCTCTATCGACCACTCATCATTTATTTTCACGCTTCAGATGTCCAGTCCTGGATATGAGGGGGTGTGTTAAGAGTCTCACATCAAATAATATATGGCCTAAACATGTCCTTATAAGTGGGGGCAATCCTCACCTTACAAACTAGTTTTATAGGGATGAGTTAGGCCTAATCCAAATTCTGAGAATAACTTTTCAGATCAAACAACTAGATCTAACAACTGCATTCTTTCATAATCTTCCTAACTAGACTTGCATCAATAGCAAATTATAATCAAAAACAACTTCTCCAGGCTAGTTATTACCTAGATCTTTTCAGTCCTATTCAATAGGAGATCTATAGAACCCTAGCATAGCGGAATTTGACCAAATCATCATTGTTCTGCAATACACCATCTAGCAAGGTTTTTAAAAGCGGTGGTGTGTGACCACGAAAACAGCTGCAACAAAAGCTGTAACGGAAGGGGCCGAAACTGATACTGTTATTCACTGTTTTTGTGATAAAGAACAAATTGTGATTAATTCACACCGCGACAATCGCAATCAGCATCGCAATACTTGTACCAACCGAAATCGCAAAAGCTTTTACACGATCGCACCCTTTACTTAAAGCCTTGCTATCTAGTACAAAATATTATCGAATAGTAACTACGGCAGCACTATTTAAACAGACCAATATTTTCTGCTATATGCGATTGATAACACCAGATCCTTAGTTATCAACTAACTTTAGCCACAATCTCTATGTTGTAAAAAGGATAAAAATGCACAAACGAATCCATAACCATGACTCTATTCCACATAACTTGTTTCCTTGCATCTTCCAGTTCAACTGTATCTAAAAGAACAAGATGAACCATAATTTAAACCCAAAGCAACCCAATTTTCAAACAAATTCATACCAATCCAACCAAAACAAAAATAACCTCCAAAACTAAATGATCCAATCAACACACCAGCATTAAAAAAAACCAGAAATTGAATCGGAACAAAAAACTAATCAACAAATCAACACATCAAAGACGAAAACTCTTGTACCTGATTCAACACCAACTCAATTACACGATCCTCAAAGTTTAAACACACGAAGTAACAAAATGCAATAGATAAGAGTGAAGCATTGAAAATTTGTGGTATGGAAATGGGAAAAGAAAACGCACTTTGACGCGTTTATATATACAGTTCGCGACCGCGTTAAAGGTCATTTTCTTGTTATGAGCTATTGGGCGGCATTTTTCTATTGAATTTCTTTAACCCAAAAATTCCTAACATATCTAAACCATATGGCTATTCATTATTATATGATTCAATTAATTCTTTAAAAAATAAATCAATTTTGAATATGGCAGAAAAAAATTTAAATAGAATCCTGTCCACTGGACCAAGACCAACTAATATAGCTTCTGAGTCAATTCTAATATTAATTGATTTTTGTCTCATTCAAATATGTAAGATATTAAATCATGGTTCTCTCTATTAAATTTAGTATCAATCACTATTTAATCAATTAATAATTAGTCACTATTATCATAATTTATGTGACAGACTATTAGTGTGTGCGCAGCTGAGTGAAATATTACATTTCAAAAACATCTCTCTAATTTTGACGGTTGTGATTGGTTGCGAAAGGAAGAAGATATGAAACTCAATTATTTGTGATTGGTGAGGCATCGCCTCTTTTAACGGACTACAAAATGCACCAAATCAGCGATAAGTAAATAGACAAATTTGAAGCATTTGTCAAAATACGTCACAAAATAATTGAACGTAGAAAATCAAATTGAATAATATTTATATTTTTGAGATTAGTACACATATATATGATATACTCACCGTTTATTGACTGTGTGTGGTTAAATTTTTTATAATTAAAAGAGAATCTTTATATCATTATGTGGCCTGCACTGAGGGTACAATATTTGTTTTCTGTCATTAATCAATGAATAAGTTAATTGTTGATCACATGTGACTGTGAATGATGAAATTGATCAGAATTAACTTTTTAAACAGTTGAGCATGTACAGATATCGTAAATCTAGATTACCAGTTTCATTTATAAAATTATAATCATTCCTTAGTTAACCTTACCAGTTAGTTAGTACTTAATTATAAATTTGAGTGACTTAATTAATTGTTTCAGATGGAAAGGGACACATGAGTTCCCTTAAAAAAAATCCAATACGGTCATGAATCATGCATGCATGCCATAAAAAAGTATATATCGTTATTTTTTACTTAAAAATGCGTGCATATGTAACTTGTAAGGGTGCATAAGTGTTGTATTCTAATTTTTACTAATAAGATTCTTCTATCATCTCATACTATCACAATGCAACAAAATCACTCATTAGGGTTTTGAGTACTTCTCCTACTTCATCTTATCTTTAGGTTTGTCTATGAGGGATCATCAAGTATCTTGAATTGTGTATCTTGAACATATATCTTTTTGAGTAACATTAAATTATGTGTATATGTCTCTTTGAATGTCATCTTGCAGGTAATGACACAATTGTATGTATCTTGTCATCTCAATCACAACAAGATCACACTAGGATGAAAGCACAACACATTTCATTAAGTTGATCTATAGGTTCATGAGTTTATTTCCATGCCTTCTTCAACAAAGCTTCATTAAGATTCAAACTTCATCATTGAAGATGCTTTGAAGTAATATCATGATAAAGTCTATTATGATTCATCATGCCTCAAGTTGTCAAAAATAGTCCAAAGATGCAAGGGTTGATTGGAGAAGTTTGACCTAATTGGACAAGTCTTTGATTTCTTGATCACAAGTGCATATCTCCCTCAATTCTCAATATTTGGAAGTGATTATGGTTGCCATGATTTCTCATTATCATCCTCAACAACTTCTATTTACATGACAAAAGTATTTGTGCAAGAAGGTTTGTCAAAATTGAAAAGGTTTCCCAAGGCATTTTGTTGCTCTAGGAGCTAGGGTTTTGAACATCTAAAGGCTATATCTTACTCATCTTTTGGTATTTTTGACTGATTCCAAAAACATACTTCTCTTTAAAGGGCTATCAATAAGTAACTTCAAAAGTTTCAATAAAAATTTGTATGGAGGATACCTAATGATGAAGAAAGATTACAAGGCCTCTAGATAGGCCATTAAAATCCCTTATGTGACTTCAAAAGATCATAATTTGGTCAATTTTTATCTCCTTGAGCCCATTTTTCCCCACAATAATCCTAAGGATGTGAACTTCAACTCTTCTTTCATGTGCAAAGCTTTAAAATGAATGAAATATATCCTAAGAATGCAAAAGATTATAGGTCATCTCATGAATTTTCACCAATTTTGCAAGACCATAACTTTTTCAATACTTGATGTTTTTGAGTGATTCAATTTTCACAATGCTCTTTAGGAAGTCTATTTCAAGATAGCATTCAAAGATCAATTTTGGAGGAAAGTATTGTTTGAGCTCAAAATATTACAAGTCATTTTTGAAGAGAAAACTTGAAATTTTTCTAAGTATAAAAGTCAACATCTTTTTCTCAACTTTGACTCGTCACAACTCTTAGCTCAAACATCCATTAATTCCCATTCTTTTCACATTATAAAGCTCGTGATCTCATCTTTCTAAAGCTTCAAGAATCATGCCCTAAGACTCCTTGAGTTGTGAATGCCGTTGATTCAAAATTGGTACCTTGAAACTGAAGTTTCACTTTAAGTCAGAATTTGAAATTCATGTTGTGGCTTCTAAACATCAAATTAGCACGCGTTTTTGGTCTAAACATGTTTAACCAACTTGTCGAAGTGGATTAGAGCCTTGAAACGCAAGGATTAAGTAAGTTTTGATGCTAAACAGGTCACACACTCCTCATGTATCAGGTTCAAACGAATTTCCTCCAAATTTCATTATTCCACACGCTTGAGCATCTCACTTGTTTCCCTATAAATAGAGGATTATACCTCATTCATTTTCTCAAGCTTGAAGAGCCAAAATCACTATGTCAAACTCCCTCCATAACACCCTTTTCTGAGATTTAGAATTCCTATTTTCTCCACTTCTCAATTCAATTTCTTCATTGATCTTTCATCCTTGAACTTACCTGAAGCTAACAGAAGAAGAATCAAGCCTTAAGGTGTCCAAAATCGTGCTAGCCAAGTCCATTTACAGAGTAACTTCATCTGACTTTGTTCAGGTAGTTTAAGGCATCAAATCTTCTAACTCAAATTACT